CCTCAAACTCCCAGGCCTCTAGTAGAGGACCCAAGATTGAGGAAGACACATATCACTAATAGGAGTGAGAGGGGATTTTATACACACACACACACACACATCCATCCATCCATCCATCCATCCATCCATCCATCCATCCATCCATCCATCCAAAGAGATAGACTGAAGAGCATTATCTTGATACCTTCTAAAATAAAATGGAAACCAGTGAATATTCCACTAGGTCTGTATTCCATGATGTGTTCTCCCATGGAGATGAAACATGGGCCTCTGTGAGGGTGAATATCTTCAGAGAGATGAAAGTCTGCACTCTGAAAGATTTTGTAAGATTTACTGAAGCCAGTATTAGAATAGAATAAAGAATGGCTCTCTGGTGGTCAGGATGAATCTATATAATTTGATTCTCCACTACTTGAATTTTCATAACTTAATAGCTCTCAGATGACTTCATTAAAAAACAAACAGAACTCTATATTTGTGATTATGTCAGAAGATATTAAAATTCTGCTTGAACAATACTATCTCATCCATGCACACAAGTCACTTCTTGATGCTGCCATTACTGTAAACAGTGAAATGAATTTTCAATTCATTAACTCCTAGATGTTTTGCAAGATTAAAAAAGCATGTGGACATTTTGCCATCAACATGCAGAGTGATCCACTTACATGCAGTATCTAATCTGTATTTAATAAATCTCCTTTTCTATGTATTTTTATATACAATTGCTTTCTTCAATGGATTACTCCTTTGTATATACAGTATCTAAAGTATACAAAATTTGTTGTATACATATTACTGGATATATACAAAGGACTGGATATATACAAAGGACTAGATATATACAAAGAATTCTGTATCCATATAGAAAGAATTTTGTATCCATATAGTCTGGAAGAAATACATAAATATTTTAACTGTTGTCTTAGATTTAATTCTTTATTTGTGAGTGTTAGGGGAACTAGGAGCTCAGCTGATTCCTTCCCATCTCCCCCCTCATCACCTTTCTTTTACTATTCAACTAAACTTCTTTATTATATAATTTGGCAAGGTAAACAAAAACATCTATAAAAACTAAAGCAGAAGACAGAGCATCATTAACTATCTAGTGTGGTTCACAGCAATGTGATTTGCACTGAAAGAGTACAATTGTGTAAGGTTCAGTTTTGTTTTTCAGACATGCTCTAGGATTTCCTAAGTTCCAGACTAAATGTAGGTCCCAATCCTCCTCCTCCTCCTCTCTCTCGCTCTCTCATATGTTTATGATTTTGCCCACAATTCTTAAATATTATATGTTATGAACCAGTTTCTACCTCATTTTGTCTTTTAACAGCTACAAATAATAGGAGCCAAATTAAAAACTTCAGAAATACATAGTAAAATCTACCTACTTTTTAAATTTAATCTTGTAATGCTGTATCTAAAAAAAAAACAAAACAAAACCATTAAAAAAAACCCTGAAACCAAAATTTGACAAATTCTTGCGTTCCTATTTACTAGGCCTTTCCACTCAAGATAGAGGCCTAGGTCTCCTTTATCCAGGTGTCGTTAAATTAAGTGCAATTTTTCAGCTTCTAATAAACTATCAGAAACTAAGAAGTCTGTGAAGATGTATTACTTCAAAAGCTGTTTTTAGTTGCTACAGTGTTTAATATTAGCTTCCTTGAAAAAACTAAGCTACTGGAGATGAAATCCCCAGAAATTGAACATAGTATAAATTCATTATACTGAATGCTAATAGATGACTTTATTTTATATTCTGAAAAAAAATATTGTTGTTTCTGAAGCAATGACAGAATTCTAAAACAATGCTGCTTTAAAAAAAAAAAAATTACCCAGAACATTGAAAGTGAATTTTTGTATCTTAGATCCATTTTGAATACATTTGACATAGTACAGTATTTTAACAGAATGCTTATTCTTTATCATTCTGTCTCTGTTTAAGAATTAAATATAGACATATAAGTTTCATTTCAGTCCTATTCAGGCACTTATCTGAATATACAAGAGCAAAAAAATGCATAGTAGCAGTATTGGTGAGCATAAAAGCCCACCCCTCTATCTCTAAACCAGAGAGCTCCTCCTCAGACTTTACCGATGAAGGTTTCTGATTCTGCAAAGACTTTAAGTAGCTTGAATGCATGAAATTCTGAAGATTGGGGGCTGCACAATATAGGTCCATCCATCCATCCATCCATCCATCCATCCATCCATCCATCCACACACACACACACACACACACACACAAAGGATGCAATGATAGTACGAGATAGGCAGATGAAGATGTCTGGCCTGGCTCTTTTGAGGGGCTTTTGGTGGGATTGGAAAGGTAGTTTGTCTTGACAAGAAACCTGTGGGATAGATTGGCTGAAGTAGCCCAAAGTCACTCATTGAGCTCTGAGCCTGGATGGAGATTTCAACATGGGTTTCTCTGATCCAACGTCTTTAGCACTATATTACAATGGTTCTCAGTGACATAATATTTGGGGTTTTAGAGGGATGAACAATGGGGCTGAGAAGCATTAAAGGGAAGTCATATGACATGATAGTCATAGAAATCTTTTAGATAGATAGATAGATAGATAGATAGATAGATAGATAGATAGATAGATAGATAAATAGGCAAGTAGAGACTGAGCAATCTGACTTAGGAGGCCTAAGGCAGGTTAATCCTGGAGGTGGCCTGCTGTGGCACTGATGGTAACTCCAGATTCCAGAAACAGATACTGAATTTCTGATTACCAGGCACCATAGGCCTTAGAACCAAAATATAACATAAATGCTAGATGTTACTAATTTTACCTTAGCAGAAGGCTCTGTTCACTACTCTTCTTTCCTGACTCCTCCAATACTCTATAGTTTACACAAAAGATCCTTATCTTACTTCAACACCTTAACACTTTGCCTTCTAGTTCAGATCAAAGGAAACAATGCATTCCACATACCGTTTCTTCCTATTTCCAACTGAGCTCTGAGAAAGGTGGAAAATGGCTTCTACATGAATAGTACAAAATGCTGTTGAAAGCCATTTAAAATTATATCCATGGGGAAGGGCATGTACCCTTAGGGTCAACTCACAGTAATGAGTTGAATGAGCAGATATGGCTAAAATGAGTCCTGCTGTAACTTATTCTTCTCCAAAGAATATATCACTGAACAAAACAGGCTGAGACGATTTAGTATCCGAGCTTCCAGGATGGTTACCATGGTTTCTGTGTACTGAGGAATGGGCTGTCTTGCAATTATATTTCCTCCAATGAGAAATAAAAGGGACACAGGAACTAGAATAATACAATCTTTATGTCTTCTGCCAGAATTGTGAGATGCAAGAGGCAAGGTGCATATAGCTATGAAACACCTTAACAATAGAGAGTCCAAACTGATGTACTCTAAATAAACTGTTAGTTGGTTTGGCTTATGGATTTCTTTTGTCTTTGTTTTTGTTTAGAATGGAATCGTTTCAAAGTTGTGTCCCATGAACCCAACCCACCCAGGTCGTTTTGATTCTGCTGAAATCGCCCTCAAATGCACGTTGGTTTGGAGTTTAGACAGCCTATGTCACCATTTGTGAGTTTATTCTGTGAGTCTTTTCTAGTGTATTATTAAAACAGATGGCTTGTTTCATGTTCCACTGACGTTTGGAGAAGTAAAGTAACAAAAGTTATACAAATGTTAATGTTCGACATCCTAAATTTGATATAAAACACAAAATAGGCATTATGGTAGATTAAACTGGACTGGAAAGCTCTTGGAGGTATATACGAACTTTTGTTTAAGATTAGAGTCGAGGCCAACATGTGTCATAGGGAATAATATAGGAAAGCCCAAATGGGAACCATATACCCTACATTTTTAAAAACATATACATTATCAAATTACCATATAATTGTCAAATTATAGATTATCAAATAAGTATCTGGACTTGCATGTGACATTGGCGCATAGGGGCCAAAGTCTGCAAGATGGTGGCTGCAACATCACTATAGAAATCCCACCCATTTTGTTTCTGCATTTTGTGCATATACTGTACCAAAGGGGGAGGCTTTGACTGCAGTGCTCCACCCACCATTTTGCAGATTTTGAGATTTCCCTCTTGACCGAATGCTACCTCTGCAGTTGTTGTTTTTAAGATTCAGGCATGTGTAGTTTTGCCTAGTTTCCAGAGCTCATTACCTCCTACCATTTCCCTGAGCCAATGCAAGAAATCTGGGATCTAACTATAACAAGAACAAACTGACTCTGTGGTGTGCAATTCTTTGTGGGATATCCAAAGCACTGCTGTTTATGGCTGTTATGAGATGTTGTAGATTATTTTGCTCAGAAGAAATTGAGAGAAGGAGTATGCTCAGGCAAGGATATGGAACAACTGAACCAGTTGGATCAGACCAAAATCTATTTAGTCTGTTATCCAATGACCCTCTAGATGTATATAGGAAGAACAGAAAGCAGGGAAAAATGGTGAGAAGGGAAAGGGATAAACAGGTTTCTTCCTAATATTTGATTTAAACTCATATCTTCATGTGACCACTTTAGATTTTAAAAAAGAGTAGAATGGATAGCAAAATTTATTATATTTCATTTTTAGTTTGTCCTTCAGCATGCATGCCATTATCATAGAAAAGGAGAGTACACCATAAGAAACATTTTGATGGCTTACCTTGAAGGATATTTCATACTGTTCCCCTCCCCAGATTTCTAATCCAGGGTCATAGCCACCAAGATCCCAAAACCACTTTCTGTTAACAGCAAACAGGCCACCAGCCATAACAGGAGATCTGAGGAAGGAATGTAGGAGATTGTCGTTGACAGGCATTAGCATGGCATGCTAGAAAATCCTGTCAGTCCATAACAGATACTGATGTTTGGCATTTTTCCAATATCACATATGTATATGGCACTTTTCACCTCACTCTGGTGGTGATTTTCATATGGGTTGGATTTTATCCTGCATAATTCCCAGTCAGCTACTAGCTAGGAATCCTGAGAATTACAGTCTCAACACATCTGGAAGGTACCAGACTAGAGGAAAGCCATTGCAGATTATATGTATCCTAAGAAACTTTTCTTTAAAATAATCCACTACTTGAACATCAACATGTTTGCTACTAATGATAAGTGATAGTGATAAGGTGTTTAGATAGCAGAGCTCAGTTGTCACCAAGAGAACTCAGAGCTGATGAGATTATGGTTCAGGTTGAAGAAGACTGCCATACACAAACATGATGATGAAAACAACAGTATCTGTAACAAATAACACAGTTTAGCTTCTATAAGCATTATATTATTATGATCAGATATAGCTAGTTAAATGCTAGGTACAGTTTTCAAATGCTAGGTAGTTTTCAAGAATACACAGAGGATATTGCACAGTTGTTGTTGTTTTCATTTTCCCCTCTTGCATAGATCTTCTGCAATAAAGAAAAAGCTACAAGAAATTCTAGAAAAGAATAGTGGTGAAAAAAACAGGAGTTTAAAAAATGAAAGACAGCAATGTCTGATCACTCTTAATCCCAATAAATTTCTGGGAATAAGAAAGGGTGATTGCACTATAAAAGAGAGCTAGTTTCATATAGTGGTTTGGGTGATGGTGAGGATTGGGAAGACTCAACCTACTTCACAGATTTGTTCTGGTAAAAATAGGAGGAAGTAATGCTATATTGAACTCCTAGAACTCCGAGAAGAAAATCCAGGATATAAAACTAAACTACAACTACTTCATGGTTGTAGTCTAACCTGGAGGTATGTTTTCCCCAAAGTTGAGAGTGCTATGCACATTAACATATGTACACTTTTTCCTTATTTCCTAGTCTCACTTTGCACATGCTGAGAAAATATTTTTTTGATCAGATATTTTAGTGAATATCTAAATATCTTTAGTGCACTTAACTTCAAAAGCAGAAATAGCTATATCTTATAACTTTCAGCTCACCAAAATAAATACTGTATCTAATCTAAACATGTGCATAGCTCTCACTTCTCACCCCTATGCACAGGCTGTAATACTCACATTTATTGAACTTTTGTATAGACTTAAACATTTTAGAATGAAATGTGCCTATAAATCATTTTATTTTAAGATTTCCTGCTTTGGTAAATTTCAGATTGTGTTCAATATGGAGTAAAGATAAGGATACTATAGGCTTGACTTTATAGTGTGATATTGGGCCATTCACTATCTATTAGCCAACATACCTCGCTAGTTTGTGGTTGCAAGGAAAAATTCTTGAAAGGACTACTACCTATGCCACCTTGATCTCCTGGAGGAAAGGTGGGATATAAAACTAACTACCTATCTAACTACCAACTAAACATAGTGAAGCTATTAACTGGGGGCATAAAGAAATACTGCTAGAGCAAAGACATGTTTGCCAAAATTGAGCCCATTGGTCTATGATTCAGTGACCACGTAATTCAGAACTAAGATCCATCTCAAAATATTTCTTGGCTCAAAAATTGTATACAAAAAGGTATAAATTTGGGGAAGTTTCATTCAAGCAAAGTACTGAAATATAGTACTTGCATACCAAAAAAGTGTAGATTTGATACAGTTCTATAAAATATGGAATAATTGGTCTTGTTTTCAGTGCCTGCCCTCCCCTTTTTCCTTTTACATTACATATACAATGACAGATTCAATTTTTTGTAATTCATTAAAATAATTCATAGAAAATTGGATGAAATAGATAAATAATTGAAAATATGACACATTAACAACTAAGTTTAGACTGATCTGTAAAAAATCTGCTATCAGTTGAATCAAAGAATATAGAACATGTTTTATCACATTTTTCCTATTTCAGAACTGACATTTGGTTTAGTTCTTTATGTATAGCTTTACTCCCAGCATGGTATGACATTTATCGCATCAGAAAGGTTTGATAAAAAAAACAATCTAAAAAAAGGCAGCAACTTTATTTTCAAACAGAGCTACCACAAAGTTGTGGTAAAAGTGCTTTTTTGTCTGCATTTCACCTTGGATTTCAGCATGGTGTCTAAGAGTGTCTTTGCATAGTTTCAATAAACCAAATATTAATAGAACAGCTTGTCTTTATCTCACCACTTAGGAGGTGAATCTACAAGAAGTCAGTTGCAGGTGAATGAATCATGAAGAAAATGATGAGATGGAAGGAATAGTTTGAAACAGGCTCTCTGAAAAAGTTGTTGATAGAATAGACGCATTGCATATATGTTAAACAAATATGAACTTGGCCAAATGTCTGCCAGCAACAGACCACAGTGTGAATGGTATTTATTTCTGCTAAAATAAGTTCCTTTCATTGAAAGCAATGGCACATAATTAGAAAGCTCAAGCTTTCACTGCATGGGTTCCATGCCCCAGTTCATGATTTCAGGGATTCTTGGAACAGAAAAGTCCAACAGGCACATCTATAAGTTTTTAAAATAGCAACTGACATGCACATAAAACTTAAAAATACCATCTGGAAACACTCTTCTCATGGGAGAAAATAAGCTGAATAACTGATCCACCCTGTCCACTGATATTATACCACTGTTCTGCATACTGTGGCCAAAAAATGGTGTATGCATGTGTGTGCATGCATATATATATCAGAATAGTACTGATCAGACTTTCCTCTGTTCATTCCAAACAAATTCATAGGTGGTCAGTAAACACATCTCATTAATCCAAAGTTTAAACTCAGTATGACAGTCTTTCCATAAAATAAAAAATCTTTTTATCTGTGGTCCATGCATAGCAAATCTAGACTCCATCATAAATAGATAAATTCTAAATATTACTATATAGTTCAATATCATATTAACAGCTTTAGTTATTATTTCTCTTATCAACACAATATTGGCAAATGTATTTAAGCCACAATGGAATTATAGAACAACCCCAAAGCATATGTTTGATTATCCATTCTGCCATGTTAAACTTCCAATAAACTAAAGTTGACATTCAACCCTTATTAAACATCCTTTGGAGTGTCAAATACCCTTGAAAAAAGAATCTGTTGTTGAAATAATTGCAACTTGAGGTCAAAGACACATATTTAATATTTTTTAAAACACTAGCCTGTTAGTTTGTTACAACAAGATATTCCAAATTTCTTGCAAGTTACCAATATCTATCTTCATAATATTCTTTAATTGTTTATAAAAAATAAACTATATATTTGAGCTAGATGACTACTTAGCTGCAGCATGTCCCAAGTTCAATCCCTGGGACCTTCCAGAATAGAGTGGCAATCTTTTCAGACCTGGAAGAACATCACTAAGTATGTTTCCTGCCTCAAAATAGAAGGAAACTGAAATTCAGCATTGTAATTAAAGGTTGCTCCATGATCTTCAAAAATTAAGTTCAGTGGCCACATTAGAGTAGCTGCTTATCCAAAATGGTAACAGATCTTCTTCTTAGATTTGGAAAGCCACAGCCAGCCAGAGTGAAAGTACTGAGTTAGATAGATTAGATTGGCTACTTTTCTAGTCTATGTGAAGGGCTGTATAGTGCAAGTCTGATTTAAGCATTAAATAACCATAAGAAATAAGAGCAAGGCCCTTAGAATAGCCATAAATAGTTGGCACTGGACAATAGCCAAAGCACACCAACACACATTCCACCATGGTTGCCAGGATGATGAAATGTACTCTGCTTCTAGACATTATGTTAGCTATTTCTAATGTAGCATTTATGCATATAATTAGCATATGCAAATCTAATGCAATTCTGCTTCCTTCTTTTGCCCTTTTTTGGGTGATATATTCCCTTATGCTTTTTTTTTTTTTTCCTGCAGAGAGACGGAGGATATGTAAGTGGCCATTCTAGACATGGTAGTTTTTATTGTTGTTGTTTATAGTATTTATAATATTTGCAGTATTTGGTCATTCTGCCACATTCTACTTTCTTAATATCTAGAACAAATGGTATCAAATTAGAATGAAAAATGATACTTTAAAGCTAACTGAAGAAATTTGTTTTTGCTATAAGTACCTAAATACACCATAGAACTTGATGGATGACTGATTAGAGATGGTGATGATGATGATGATGATGATGATGATGATGATGATGATGATGATGATTTTTACAGCTGAAGGCATAGTCAACCAGACCAAGTTTCCCAATCTGAGTTTAGTGCTCAGGATAAGTGCAAAGCTCAACCTTTACCTAGGATGGATAAATTATCTGATCAGGTATAAAGTTTTAGATTCATATTCCACAGAGAATACATGGCCCTGAGCTGTTCTCACATTTTTATAGATGGTAAGTCATGCAATATCCTATGATATTTTCTTTGAAGTCATCTGAGCTGCATGGAATCTATTGGAAATATCAGTTATAAATACCAGATGAATATATTCCACAAATGCTTATGTATATACAAAGCAGGATTTGGTGAGATACAGTTTCAAATTCTCGCTCAGCCACAAAGTTCACTGGGTGATCTTGGGCCAGTCAACATCTCTAAGCCTAATATACCTTGCAGAGTTATCCTTGTGAAGATAAAACAGCAGGAGAAATGAGATAATTGTGTAAGCCATGTGCAGATCCTCAGAGGGATGATGAAATAAATAAATTGCCAACTTTACAACAGTTGTTGTAGACTTTCAGAAGCACAGCCTTACTCTTCTGCTGTACTAAAAATCCAATTAGAACATGGGAAAGGTCAGATCTTTTCTATTGCTTTTGTGCAAACTGAAAAAGCAGGCAAGAATTATAATACAGCATTAGAAGTGTAACACTCAGTGAATTTGAGTTTTAAAAAGGAACAAGCAACAAAACATTCAAGCTAATAAGCAAGCCTGTGAG